AAGATGTTCCACGTTGCACTGGGACCATGAGGAGATGGAGAAATCCCACAAAGACCCATCCCACGAAGAACTGCTTGGATAGTGCACGATGGAGACCCGGGACACACACAGGCCATGACAGGAGAGAGGGCTCCTCACAGGGACACACAGAATCATGGAATGGTTTGGGTGGGAAGGGACCCTAAGGATCATCTATTCCACCCCCTGCCATGGGCAGAGACACCTTCCACTACTCCAAGTTGCTTCAGCCTGGCCTTGGATACTCCAGGGATGGAGCAGCCACAGCTTCTCTGGGCAACCCGTGCCAGGGCCTCCCCACCCTCACAGCCAGAAATTCCTTCCCACTATCCCAACTAACCCTCCTCTCTTCCAGTTTAGATCCATTCCCCCTTGTCTTGTCACGTGACACACATGCCCCGGATTTCCCTGTTTTCTGAGAGCCCAACTGCAGCTGATCACTGACATTCCATGATCCCTCCCCCTCGCCCTGAGTGAAGCTCAGCCATTCCATTAAAAGTGCACATCCCTGGGAATGTTTCCTGATTGCTGCTGCAAAGGAGCTTTTAATAAATCGCCTCCCAATAGCTGTGAATGTTAATAAAAATAATCAATTCAGCACTTAACACTTCAATCACAGGCCTATTTTTAGCCTATTACCGAGAGCCATGTTGTAAACACACAAGTCTGTTGTGTTTGATGCTTTTCTCATGAAACTGGTGCAGCAGCACCAGAAACAAGCAAATAGTTTAATTTCGCTGTTATTTACTCACTGTATCTCAGACAAAAATAATAACAGAGAATCTCGGTTAGCTTTGCCTCCACTGGGTGGGTGTTCAGATATTTAGTGATTACTCCTTTTCTCTTCAGCAGTGATATCCCCTGAATTTCATTTTTTAGGGGATATTTGGAACTATTCATGTGCCTCCAAACCCAGACTGAAGTTTTATTCTATCCTGTCTCACTGTGATTTTTTTTGTCCAGTTTTCCTCCTTGGAAAAAAATCAAACATGTGAGAAAGCCACGAGCTTTTGTTTTCTGGAGGTTTCTCAACTTCTTTGTGCACACATAAATACATATGTGGCTGTGTCATTTTAATTAGCAGAGCTTAATATTCAGGAAAGCTCAATTGCCTTGTGCAAGGAAATGACTCTTGCAGCAACCAATTATTGTCTCTACATCTTGATTCCGACCAGGAGGTTAATTAGAAACATGTGACTTGTTGCACTGGAGACAGGGAGATCTGGACAACTGGAGTTCAAGTCAATGTGGGGCTTTTAAGCTTCATGTAAGAATTTAAAACATATTCTTTTCCTCAAAGAGCAGCAAATTCTACGCTCAGAACTGTGATTCTGACCAAGCCCTGCAAAGAGCTTTTTGGTCAAAGGCAAATCCCACTTTTGGTTTGAAGTTTGTCGTGAAAAAAATGCAAAACGATCACATGGATTTAAATTTGGCCTTTCAGGACTTATAAAAAAAAGATGGAGAGTGACTTTTTGAGTGGCCAGACAGCGATAGGACAAAGGGGATGGTTTAAAACTGAAAGAGGGGAGATTTAGATCAGGGTTTAAAACTGAAAGAGAGGTGATTTAGATCAGGTGTTAGGAAGAATTCCTGGCTGGGAGGGTGGGGAGGCCCTGGTACAGGTTTCCCAGAGAAGCTGTGGCTGCCCCTGGATCCCTGGAAGTGTCCAAGGCCAGGTTGGAGCAAGCTGGGCTAGTGGAAGGTGTCCCTGCCCACGGCAGGGAGTGGAATGAGATGATCCTTAATGTCCCTTCCCATCCAATCATTTTGGGATTCTGCAAATTGATCAGAAGTTTGAGGCACTGCTTTGTGCCCCTGGTTTACCACGTTCTCTTTGCATAATGGACCTGGTCCCTTCTGGCTGCTACAGCTCCCTGTACACCAGGACTGAGGCCAAAATCCAGAGAGTCTCTGGAGAAAGAAGCAAGATTAACTATTACAGGGATAGTGCCCTCCTCATCTCTGATATATTTTCGTTGATTACCGTAAGTGAACAGCTAAAAACAATTGATACTGATATTTTAACCACTAATGAATAAAACTGCAAGGGAAATAAATTCCAATAACCTTATGCTAGGAAAAAAAAAAAAAAATTAAAAAAAGCCCTTTTTTTGCTCTTAAGCTTGTTCTTGAATGTGCTGAAGCAATGCCTGAAATAACTTTTAGTGCAGCAGAAGGCCCAGAGATTGTGAGCGGTGAAAACCTTCCCAAATTACACACACAGATGTACAAATGCATTCCCACTCTCCCCGTGCCTCGTGGCGTCAGGAGTCTGACTCAGAGCCCTTAAGTGCAGCAAGGTCAATGCCAAGGCTCACTGGTGTGCTCAGCCTCCCTCCCAGACATTTTAATGTATCTATTAAAGTTCTGCTTTATTAACCTGAGCCACGATGCATAGCAATGACCCTCCATCAATTAAAGCAGCCTGGTTCCAGAATTCCTAGACAAAAGTAGGAAAGATAAAAGGAGAAAAAAAAAAAAAAAACAAACCAAAATACCCAATGCATTCACTTATTTTCCAATCTGTTCAGAGCAAGGAATGAGTCTGACTAAGGGTATATCTTACATGGGATTTCTGAAGCTTTAGGAATGCAGGAATTCCAGCTCCAAGCCTGCAGTTTGATGTTTGCTGCATCCTGGCCACAGCAAATGTCCCATGAGGAAAAAGGGCCCATCTTTTATTTCTGTTGTAGTTGGTCACACTGAATGGTTGGAATAAACTCCCCTGGCTCGCACACACACACACGAGGGCAACGCTCATTAGGATCAAGTCATGGAGTGAGGGATGTTTTCTGTGGGATGAGCTCCTGGAGAAGTGTCACTGGGCTGTGCTTTATCCCATCCTGTGGGCTCGGAGAAGGGCTGCTTCTCTGTCAGGGGTTTGCCCGAGCCTGGTGTTGATCAGCAGAAGGATCTGTGCAGTTTGTCTCTGCTCATCTCCCTGTTCCCATTCCCTATCCCCACATAACGAGGACCTCCAGGCTAACTTGGGCGGATTTTTATCCACTGAAGTCATCACTGTGTCCCAATTCCAGAGAGTTTTCCTGCTGGTTGGGGTTGGAAGGCCCAGCCCAGCAGAAGGGCTGAGCTGGGCACAGGACCATATTCCCACATCTTTTCCCAGAAAGACAAAGCTGCTGCAGGACCTCATCCTGCTTAAGCCCTTTTTACCTGCACTAAAAAGGGCAAAAAGTCAGGAAAACTTTGGCTGCACATTTCCTTTGCCATTTACCTTGACTTGGGCTGAGCAAACTCTCGGCCTCAGATTAAAAAGTACCAGGAAAGGAGAACTGAGGAGGATCAAAATTGGCAGGAAAACTGGGGGATGTGTTTCTTCTTCTCTCCACTTTTTTTTCCTGTGGAAATATCACCTTTTGCAGTTGCTAGTTTGGCTAAAATATGAGTTGGACTCGAAAATTCTTTATCCAAAGACTAGGATTGTAAAGAATTTATAATGCAAATTGTGATAATCATCCTTTGGGCATGAGATTTAAAAAAAAATCCCTCTGTGTTCCTGAATCCTTCCTTTCCAGAATTATAGAATCACAGAATCCCAGCATAGTTTGGGTTGGAAGGGACCTTAAAGCTCCTCTCATTCCAACCCCCTGCCATGGAGTGAAGAGAAAAAGGGATGAAAGGACAACAGAGAACAGAAGACAAGAGTTTGTCATGGACAATATTCTCTCTATAAACTTGCACATAGGCCTTGAGAAGCTGAAATGTTGCCCTTTCAAATAAAACCAGCAGTATAATAATATCTGTAACATCTGGAATTATTTATTTATGCATCGTATCTGTTGCTGTTCCTATTTAAAGAACCTCTCTGTAAGTTCAGGAGATGTTGTACATATGCAAAGGTCCCCTGAAAAATGTACGAAAATCGCTTTCCAAGTTACTGGGAAGCTTTCCTGCTGATTTTCCAGCCCCAGGGGTGCATTAGATTTCTGTTTCCCCCAATTCCTTTGCCAACAGCCAATATTCCATCCCCTGCAACTGGTCCAGTGATCCCAGTATGGTTTCATAACCTATTTCTGCAAGAGACACTGCAAGGAGGAGTTGGTTTCCCTCAGAACTGTGAAAAATCAACAGTTGTTCATTCTTTTCATGTGGAGGAGCTACTTCCAAGAATTATCATGGAAAACCAGAAACTTGGTAGGCAAAGGTAAGGTTGGCACCTCTTGCAGCTCTAAAAGGGACTTTGTGGACCACTGAAATGCATGTGGAAAATCCCTAAAGCAAATGTAAGAAATGGATGATGCCTTTATGACAAGACAACTTGGCTGAAACATTTCTTAATAGTCCTGTGGTCAAACTACTTCTCCCTCTCACACGTTGAATTTAATCATGATTTAAAAATAAGATCTGGAGAACATCAAGCTACAATTTATTTATTGTTTTTAAACTTAAAATCCTAGAAAAACCATTTTCACAGGCAACAGAGCTTTTGTGTTGCACTTCACGACCAGCAGGAACTCGTGCCCTGAGCAACAGAAAACAATTCCTGACCCTCAGAGAGATGCATTAAGACCACAGTCCCCTCCAGATGAAGACAAAACCCTCATTTGAGGAGTTATTAAAAAGAAAATAATACAAAATGAAAAAAAAAAATAAAATCCAGTGTTATCACCATATACCTGAACCAAAACTACAGATGGCAAAAAAAACCACCACTTTTTTTTTTTTTTAATTTAACAAGTGAATCAGAAACAGTCAGACTCAGCACTCTAATTTCCTCATTTCCTATAATTAACTGAGCTTTCAACACCTCTTCTAATTTACTGATGATTATCTTTTTATTCACCAATCTAGATTAGGACATAACTGACATTCTTCGCTACCCACTGGCTCAGAAGTTCTCATCTTTCTGCCTCGAAAGATAACAAGCAGTTGTTCTCTGGTGGGTTTATTTTCCTTCCCCTCACCCAGTTCAGGCTGTCACACGTGTTATGGAAACCAGGAATCCTCCAAAACCACCCCAGGTTTGCTTTTCTCCGATCCCTATTTTTCATTTTAACCTAAATTATGGTTCATTTGGCTGTTTTATCAACCTGTTGCTTCTCCCCCTCCTGCAGAGATGGAGCGACTTTTTCGTGCGTTGATAAAGTGCTGACCAAAAAATAAGAATTCATGGCACCAGAGCAGGAATTATCCAAGCAATCTCCACAGCTCTTGATGGTGAGAATCGTAAGAATGCAAGAAGAACAGAAGAAAAATGTTAAAAATAGAAAACAAAGCATTTCTTAGAATTATTCAGACGTTTTGCTTTGCTTTTCAAACGCGACAGATTTTATCGGAGTTTCTTTTCTCTGCTTTCAGAAACACACAAAAAAGGATCTCCTTTGTCACCATTTTTTCAGTGGCAGTATCTGGGTGACTGCTCACAGGAACCCCCCGAAGTGTGAGAGGTTTTCTGAGCAGGATTTCTGCACCATCAGCTCTTTCAATGCCTTTTAATCTCACGGGATCATCGACTGCAAACCAAGAAGATTTTGTCTCACGAGATCCTGGCCCAGCCCCTTCCAAAACTGAGCATTCCCACCTCTGCTTTTCCAGCTTCCCATGGCTGTTTTCACACCTCTGTTCTCCCAGTGGTGTTTCCCCAAATGTTTTTTAGGCAACAGAAACCATCTAAGAGCACTGGGGGATCTGTACCCTTCTGTACCACAGAATTCCACGCGGATTAAATCCTGAAGAACTACAACCTGCTCTAACGGGAAACTCCTGAGAAGCAAAAAGCAGATAATTCTCCAAGTTTTTCACAGATAATCTTCCAAGGAACCTTCATCCACTTCGTCAAAACTGAAGGATGAATTTATGGGCACACATGACATTCCTGGAGAACAGACACTCGGTGCTTTTTTTATTTTTCTGACAAGTATCAGATTTCCACTCCCCGGCCCCAGAACAGGTACCAGATGGATTGACTCCTGCAGTGGGAACCTCCCCAAATTCCATTTCCCCCAAGAAATATCTGCAGGAGTGATCACAGCTCTACCTCCAACCCCAGCTCCACACACTCACCTGACTCATGAGTCAGATCACTCACTGTTATTTCTCACCTGATTTAACCTGTTCTGCTCCACGTTCCATAATTCCTGTGTCGTTACCACACACATTCCCTGAACAATTCAAATGCTTTGTGAGAATTCCTGGCAATCAGGGGCAGTGGGGCTGTGGACCCCACTCTTCCCTCTCTGCTTTAGTTGATCTGTCCCAGGCAGAAATTGGTGTATTAACGACCCATTAATGTATTAATGATCTATTTATTTCCCAGCTGCCTGATCTGGAATTCAGTTCAACTTCTCCCAAATCTCCCTGTGAATGGATAGGAACAAACTTCAGGTGCTTTAAGGAAGGAACTAACACTCCACGTGGCTCTGCCCTCTCTGCCACAGCCAATCCCAACAGTTGCAATGGATATCATCATTAATACCAAATTTTCTTAAAGACTTCAAACCCAATCAGTGTCTGAGCTGAGTAACTATTTCTGTATAAAATCCCTGCCCTGCAGCCATTCCAGTTGTGTTTTCCTGGGGCTTTGCTCCCCACCTTCCCTGATCCATCCTCACTCCCCACCTCCACTGCCAGCTCCTGTCCACACAAACAGGACAGAATTACCCTCAGAGTTATTCAGCATCTCTCTCTCTCCCCAAATCTCCCTCTTACCCCCTATTTCCAAGCCTGACTTCCACCTCCAAGCCAGAATTTATCTTCCTTTCCCTTTTTTCCAATATATATTTTATGCTCCCTCTGCTGCTGTTCCTCACGTGTGGAAATGATTTCCTGCAGAACTTACCCCGGTTCCCTCTTCCAAAGCCCACTTGGAGAGCGTCCTTTGGGTGCTACCTATTTCTAAAACCATTTTAAAATCATTTTGGTGGTTTTGCTTAAAGCACTGCCTTCCAAATGGATCCATTTCATCCCAGTGCTGCCAAGGGCTTCCCTTTTTTTACTGGCTTCAGACTTAAATCGTCTCTTAAAACTGAATTGCCGTATCTGGGGGACACTTTTAACTCAAAATGGGAACAAAACGTTGCAGAGCAGGCCATGTTCTGTAACTTCACTCCCCAGGCACTGGAGTTACACAAACACCAGAGAACAGTGAAAAAACATGGGTTTGAGGGGGTTTGTTGGCAGTTTTCTAAGCAGAAACACAAATTTAACAAGAAGTTAAATGATTTTCAGCACCAGAAAGAGATTAAAAGTAAAGCCACACAATGGGCCAGAGAATTCAATTTATGGCTCTTGATATTCATGGAATCCCAAAATGGATTCTGTTGGAATCCACCCTCCCAGCCAGCAATTCCTTCCCAATATCCCATCTAACCCTGCCCTCTGGCAGTGGGAAGCCATTCCCTGTGTCCTGTCCCTCCATGCCTTGTCCCCAGTCCCTCTCCAGCTCTCCTGGAGCCCCTTTAGGCCCTGGAAGGGGCTCTCAGCTCTCCCTGGAGCCTTCTCTTCTCCAGGGGAACCCCCCCAGCTCTCCCAGCCTGGCTCCAGAGCAGAGGGGCTCCAGCCCTTGGAGCATCTCCATGGTCTCCCCTGGACTGGAATCAACAGATCCACATCCTTCTTACGTTGTTCTACTTGTGCTTCTCCAGCTTTTAATAAAATTATTCCTAGGACAGTCCAGCATCCCCTAACTCAGGAGTAAACCAGGAGCTGGTTGGGAGCCTCCTCTCCAACAACCTCTGGGGTCACTCCCTCCAGTGTGTCAATTAAATGCACAAAGGAAATGGTGTAAAGCCCAACTTCCCATCGTCCAACTGTGCAAATACCAAAAGGAATCATGGCCTTGATGGGAAAACCAGACCCCCCTTCCAGTGATGAGTTTAACAGAGCCCTGTGTGTCCACTGGGAATGTTCTCAGCTGTGGGGAGGGTTGGGATGTTCCACGTGGAGCGTTTCTGCTCCAGGTAATTGCTAATCCCAGTCCCGGGAGGGGTGTAACTCCAGGAACAATAACCAAACAATGCATCCCGTTTATGACTCAAGGAAATCCTTGGCACTGGCAGCACTCTGCTGTATTTACTGATCTGACAGTGTAAACACATATGTTGCAAGACAGATGGACCTTTCCCCCCAGCTTTCAGCAATGGGTGTCTCATCAGGGAAGGGATTAAAGGGAGATCTTAAAATCTTTAAACAAGGTTTGCCGGCCCCAGCCCCGGGGCCGAGATTATGGGACACAAAGGGCTGTGCTTCCCGGGAGCAGCCAGGCCACACTAAACAGATCATTCAGCAGTGTTTTAATTACATTACAGAAAAGGGGTTAACAATAGATTTGGCTATCAACTGCAGCCAGGTGGCTTTGCCAGACAAAATTTTGGCGTCCCAGTCCGCAGAGTGCAGGTCCTGAATTCTCCATGTTCTGAACAACAGTGGGGCTGGGATTTTGAGAACTGTTTTTTGCCAAACAACGCCAAAATCAAGTTATTTTTGACACATTTTCTAGGAAAATTGAGGGGGTTTTATAAAATGATAGAGTGGGGTTTATAAAACCAGAATCCATGAGATCGGAGGTAAAATAAAATCCACAACCAGGCACTTAGAAATTTGACAGGGAATAAACTTTTTACCCTCAGCCTTTGCTTGATCCATTTAATATTTGTGGAATAAAAGTCCATGTTACAACAATCAGCTTCCTTTTTTTAAGTGGGGAGAAAACTCTGATGGGGCAGAACAAACCTGATCTATAAATAAAAAAAAAAAAACCAGATACACCCCTGCAACCTTTTCTGGGATCAGTTTTTCTTCCAAAGAATTGCAGGAGCCACCATAATTCATATTTGTACTTAAAATCCTTTAACCAGCAAGAACATATTTCTCCCTGTTTAGCTAAGGAAGGCTCCACACAAACCTCACCATCACCATCTCTGCTGTAGGACACTGGGAACAACATTCCCAGGCTCCCGTTTTCATCACTGGCTCCCAGAGGGAACAACATCCAGAATTTTTATTGCCGCATTTTATCTTATTTTAAGGGGGTTTTTTTGCTGTGAGCAGACTATATACCTAGTTTTAGAGACCAAATTTAAAGCTGCATATGGCAGAATCAAAAAAACCTCTGTCTTTTTATGGAGTTACAAAAGATTTACCTCGAGAAGACTGAAATCTGGCAAAGGATAAAAACCCACAAACAGCAAAGTAAAGGTGGAGAGAGGATGAACATAAGAATTTTGTCTCATATTTGAGAATTTATTAATTCATTTTCTTCTGCAAGATTGGCTAAGGGAAGGTGGTGTGTAAATATGTGTGAGAGAAGAGGGAAGAGGAGGCAAGGAGGGAGAGAAAAGATGTGAAGGGCAACACGAGAAATCCCTTTTTACGAGTAGTAAAATCTGACAAGAGGAAGAAATCAGTTATTTCCTGGAGGAAAACAAGCTGCTCTGTTCGACTGAAGGTTCTGGGTTCAGATGAAGGCTCTCTCAGCAGAGATGCTGCACATCCACCCTGCGACCTTGTAACAACAACGTGCCCAAGGATCACTCCGGGTGTGTCTCCCCCCGGAACTCTCAGAGTTGTTGGGAGATGCTGTTTGTGATCCGACAGGCTCAGAAGCCTCTCCCTCCCTAATTTTTGCTGTCATGAGCATTTTGAACACTCGTTTTCCTCCAGTCCCAACACCTTTTGCCCCACGGGCTCAAATCTCAGTTTTTCAGCGCGGTGACTCCCAGAACAGCAAACCTGGGAAAGGTTGGGATAAGGACTGACCGACTCCTCGTATGTTATGGATGAACACACCCCCCTAATGCTACTTAAAAGATTTAACGTCTGATATTCCCCTAATGAGATTAAGGGGACAAAGAATTGAAAACAAGGGATGTTTACAATTACTGGCACCTGAAAAGCAGTGATGTCACATGGAAAAATAAACTCTCCACCAGAGATGCATCTCCTGGGCGCTGTAAACGTATCCAAGCACTCGGTTGGCTCCTTGTGAATGTTTCAACACGGGAGTTGAGGACAGAAATTAAGACAACAAAGGGTGATGGTCAGTCATCAGCAAATAGGAGACGAACACACTTAAATGACAATAAAGCTCCACTTTTGACTGATAACTGAAAGAAAGGAACGATCAGTGCAAGCATCCCATGCACAAGGGCAGCAGGTCACCACTCCGACGCCTCCCAGGTCGCAGGATGATGTTTTCTTTGCCTTTGGAACGAGCCACTTCTACCTGACACATCAAACCCTCCTGCCCCCACTCCAGCCAAAAATTTCTCTCCTTCAAACCTCCACTTTTCTCTCGCTGTCTTATTTTCAAAAGGCAGATTTCGAAAAGGGACAAAACATCACATTTTTAAAGTGACAGGAAAAGGAGCAATAAAGTTTTTTGTTTTTTTTTTTTTTAAATAGCCATTTGCCTAAATAAACATCATAAAACTCAACAGAAAATTGGATCACTGTTTTTTTTCTGGTGTTTCTGTTTACTCAGTTGTGTTGTACAAATGTACACCTGAGTTTCACCCAGAGACACGGCCCTGCCAGCTTTCTGAGAGCATGAAAGCAGGTCCTTGATCTGTGAGCTCTAAATGTATTTATTTGCTCGGTTTAACATTTTGAGGGCTGGACATGGATATTATTAATTGGAGCTTGGATCCCAAATGTGAGCATCCCAGAGGATGCAAAACAGAATCATGGAATCATGGAGTGGTTTGGGTTGGAAGGGACCTTAAAGCCCATCTTGTTCCACCCCCTGCCATGGGCAGGGAGACATTCCACTAGCCCAGGCTGGGAATTTTGGGATGAGCTTCCTGGCCGGCACAGGGCCTTCAGCACTTTAACACATCCAGTCCTCGTGGCTCTTGTCCCAGGAGCTCTGCCCAGGGGTTGTTTTTGAGATCCCTCAGGTTTTTAAGGAGGGATGAACACCCCAAAATACCCTTTTATGGGGGATGTTCTGTTAGGCTCTCACAAAAAAACCCCAAAACTGAATTACTGCCACATTTTTATAAAGAAGGAGAACGTCACAGCCTTTAGTTATGAGTCTGCTGATGATCTCCAGGGATGGAGCTTGAGACAATCCCAGATATTTGAGGGGTCTGTGTCAGTTCAGCACAGAGATTTGTTCCTGTTTGTGGCCATTGAAGGCTCAGACCTCAAATTACCGAGTATTAAAAATAAATAAATAAATAAAAAACAACGACCCACCCCCTTATTTATTTCTGGAGCTTCGATCCGGGCAGTGCTTATTCTGGAAAACCTCTTATCAGCTTCGAGGAGGTAAAATACTATGATAAAATATGCAGATCTCATTAAGCTAATTTTTATCTAATGCTATCTACGTTTTTAAAAGAGAGTGTAGTAAAAATATTGAAGGGGAGGAATCTCCTTTACTTTCTTATAGATTTTTTTTTAAGCTGAGGAGCTCTGACGTCGTATTTGGAGGCTTCTCCAGGGTTCTGTTTGCACAGCAAACACCACTGTTTTATTCTTCAGAGGTTAAGTTTGACTGCCAAAGTAAAATTTACTTTTAAACCTCGTTTTTAATAAAAATATTGAACTGGAGTGTTTGGCAAGCATGGGAAACTAAAAAACCAGCACACGAGAAAATGGCACCTTTCCCAAAGGGACAAACTCAGATCTGGTCTCCAGAAAACACAAAAACTGCTCTCAAAAGCAGTTTTAAACTACTCCCAAACCAGACAGTCTTCCAGCTCTTCAATACACATTTTAGCTGCTGTATTTAAAATATTGGTTCACTGATTGTGTGGAAATGAAACAGCTCAAACCTTTAAATTAGTCATACTGAGCTTCTACCTGTTAGCGATGTGTCACAGCACTGATATGTCACAATTCCCTCAAATGAACATCATGGAATTGTTTGGGTGGGAAGGGACCTTAAAGATCATCTCATCCCACCCCCTGCCATGGGCAGGGACACCTTCCACTAGCCCAGCTTGCTCCAACCTGGCCTTGGACACTTCCAGGGATCCAGGGGCAGCCACAGCTTCTCTGACCAACCTGGGCCAGGGCCTCCCCACCCTCCCAGCCAGGAATTCCTTTCTAATATCCCATCTAACTCTGCCCTCTGGCAGTGGGAAGCCATTCCCTGTGTCCTGTCCCTCCATCCCTTGTCCCCAGTCCCTCTCCAGCTCTTCTGGAGCCCCTTTAGGACCTGCAAGGGCTCTCAGCTCTCCCTGGAGCCTTCTCTTCTCCAGCTGAACCCCCCCAGCTCTCCCAGCCTGGCTCCAGAGCAGAGGGGCTCCAGCCCTTGCAGCATCTCCATGGTCTCCCCTGGACTGAATGTGCTCCAGCAGCTCCACATCCTTGTGCTGTTGTTCCCAGGGCTGGAGGCAGCTTTGCAGGGGGGTCTCACCTGAGGGGGCAGAGGGGCAGAATCCCCCCTCCTCTGCTGCCCACGATCCCTGTGGGATCAGCTCAGGGCACAGGGTACACCAACACCCCCAGGTCCTCCTCCCCAGGGCTACTCTGCAGATCGTTCTGGATCCCTGCCTTCCCTCTGGATCCACACCTTCCTTCCAGTGTGTGTGACCTCACACCCGGGGAGATTTTGGCTGCCTGGCCACGGGCTGTGGGTTTCCAGCCCCTCCTAAGCCTCCCCAGTGCTGTCCCCAGCAGCAGGTCTCACCTTTTCCAGGCATCTCTGCCCTTCCCTGCCCCAGGAGAAAAGTCTGGGCATAAAAACATCCTCCCAAAAGGCAGAGAGAGCTCTGGAATGCAAAGAGAAAACGGCAGATGTGCTTCAAAGTTCAGAGCTGCCATCCTGCCACTTGCCCTTTCCCTAATCCAGCGCAGTCAGGACCTCTCACTGTGTTAATGTTTCCTTCCCAGAATCATTATAATGAACAACCTTTATAAATAATACATTTCCTCTGCTTCCTTTTGTTCTGCAGGGACAATTCCTTCTCATAAAACATCACACATGACAGAAGAGAACCATGATTTTAAAAGATTTAGAAATGTTCGAGCATCGGATGGAGGTTTTTTTCATACAACAACGTGGGGTTTTTTGTATTTAATTTAAATACTTAGCACAGTGCCCTTTTGTTCTAAAATACCCCTGCTGTACACATTAAAAAATTACTGGTCTCAAGTTCGTCTCTTTTATATTCTTTCTGTCAACAAGGAGTCACATTTTGCCTCTTCTTTCATGGAGCCATTGCAGGAAATGTCATTATTCTCTAGTCATAGCCCACAACTTCATTATCATTGTCAGCCTTAAATATTTATCTCTAGAATTTTCCTTCCCTTTGGTGGTACAGAAGGACCTGGAGGGGTGAAGATGAAACACAGACCTTTTTTCCCACTTTGTGTTTCATATTGTGAGGGCTCCATTTAGGAATATAGGCCTAATTTAAACAGTAAGTTTAATTCTAAACACACAGAACACACAAAAGCAGAAATAGTCCTACTGATTTGAAAGGTTTAAAATTATGTAAGTACATATTTACTTAAGTTTATGAATCATTATTTCTGCCCCAGTTACTTGAAAAGACACTGTGCATGTTTACTACTTGTTCAAAACATACTGATCTATATTCAAGAATTTTTTTTTTTTTCCTCGAAACGAAAAGCCAGGGCTGCCTATAAATTCCAGCAGCAGGGATTGAGCTGTGTTTGTTGGGAATAAATACACAGGCACAGGGGGCTCTGGGCCTTGCAAGCAGGACCATCGTGGTCACCATCACAAATAAGGACAGTGGCCAGAGAAAAGAAGCATTTACAGATGGAAATACCAGCAGGAAAAATATTTAAAAAATGTAGATTTCCAGTCAGGAGATCAAAGTGTGAGGTGTCCTAAAGGAATGGTGGATATTTAAGTTACACCACACCAAATGGCTCCTTTCAGCCCCTCACTGGTCTCCTCTGATAGATCCAAACCACCCCCATGTTCCCACTTGGGGTGTGACAGAATTAAAGAAGATAAAAGGACGTCGAAAAGCACAAAAATAATAATTGATGAGGGAAATCACGCCCAGAGAAGCTGTGGCTGCCCCTGGATCCCTGGAAGTGTCCAAGACTAGATTGGATGGGGCTTGGAGCAGCCTGGGATAGTGGAAGATGTTCCTGCCCACAGCAAGGAGTGGGACTGGATGAGCTCTAAGGTCCCTTCCAACCCAAACCATTCCATGGTTCTGTGATTCCATGAACTGCAGTAAATACAGATATTCCCACACTGGCTTCGTTCCACTCCCTCAGGTTCACAACTGCACACCAGGCCTCAACAAAGAGACTTTAATGAGATATTTAGTAATTGGTAACAAATGAAAATAATTCCTCCATAAAGTTCCGTGTAGCTCCCAGAGCCATCTGCTCTATATAAAGAGCTGGGTGTGTTTGAAGCAGTTTCCCAGAGAAATCTCATCTGCCTTGTTGTCTGAGGAGTTAAAGAGCTGGATGACTAAAATCCAGATCTATAAATAAAGATTTTGTATAGTTTTTAAATTTATACTCTGGAGCTTTTCATATAATACAGCTTTTCTGTATTCTGCAGCTTCCTACATTCTGCTTTCCTATTACACATGAATTCTATTGGTGCAGCTTCCCTGGAATCTGAATCCCTTTCTGAGAGAAAGCAAAAGAAGGGGAGAATCAGAGAATCATAGAATCATGGAACCCCAGACTGGCTGGGGTTGGGAGGGACCTTAAAGATCACGTCATCCACCCCCTGCCATGGCAGGGACACCTTCCACTAGCTCAGGTTGCTCCAAGCCCCGTCCAACCTGGCCTTGGACACTTCCAGGGATCCAGGGGCAGCCACAGCTTCTCTGCCCAACCTGTGCCAGGGCCTCCCCACCTTCCCAGCCAGCAATTCCTTCCCAATATCCCATCTAGCCCTGCCCTCTGGCAGTGGGAAGCCATTCCCTGTGTCCTGTCCCTCCATGCCTTGTCCCCAGTCCCTCTCCAGCTCTCCTGGAGCCCCTTTAGGCCCTGGAAGGGGCTCTCAGCTCTCCCCAGAGCCTTCTCTTCTCCAGGTTGAATCACTGTATCCACCATTATTGTTCTGTTTGGATCCCATGCAGCTCCTGGATCAAGTTTTCTGGAACACTGACTTAGGGTAAAGTTCCTGATGCTGAGAGAGGAAAGGAGCACCCACCTCCCCTGGCACCCACCCCTCCTGGCACCAGCTCTAACACCCACTGCTTGCACTGACAAGTCTCCCCACAGGACACACCGAGCTGGATCCTTCCCCACAAAGATCCTGCATGGATTGGAGCGAGCTGATAACCTCGTCCTCAGCACTGGGAATGACTCCAGTGAAGAGCCCAAGTTAAAATTATGTGGAATAAACTCTGTGGAAAACACGATTGTTTTCAAAAGCACGAGTGTGAGTCCCTCCCAGATGCACCCAGGGAGTCTGTCCTGGAGAGCTCACAGGAGGTGGGTTTGGGGCTCCTGAGTGTGGAATGACTTAAGCTCAGCTGACAGAGGGAATGACCAAAGGGAAACTCTGGAGTGCTGTACTTTCCCTGGCTAAACAGATTATCCTGCCAATCCTGCCCTCCGGAGCCGGACGAGGCAGCGTTTGCTCCATGGAATCCATTGATGAGAGCCCAGCCCTGCTCCTGAGGGGCTTTGTCCTCTCCTCCCTTATTTCCACAGCAGCAGGAGCTGCTCCAGTGGCTTCATCCCTCTATGCTCTGAGGTTCTGGGAGAAACTCCTCTGGAATGCCTGAGGAGCACAGGAATTGCTGCTTTTGCAACACCCAGAAGGAATGATATCCCAAAACAAGACCAGGAGCAGCAGGAGGAGGCAGCACACCCCCGGGTGCAGCTCCTGGACAGCACAGCCTCCAATCCTCTGGAGCAAAGAGCCACGGGGGGGAAAGGAATCCATCCTTTGGGGCACGGATGCAGTTCCACGGCGAGCACGGTAACGTTGGCGAAGGATCAATATCCCAACCCAGAGGAGCACACATGGAAGTCGCTCCTACCCTTCCAGTTGCCATGGCTAAGTTAGATTTGGGAGCCCTCAGCTTTCCCTGATCCCCAGAGCTGCTGGAGGCAGCTAAATTGTAAACAATTTACCCTGGATTGTTTACAACAACCCAGGAACAACTTCATCCCTGAGCACAGAAGGAATTCCACATCAGAGCTGCTTTCTCTGCTGGCAGTTCCCTTCCCAGGCTGCAGCTCCTCTGGGATTCCTCCTGGAACAACCCTCCCAACACTCTGCTCTGACCAGCAGTACCTGACAGACTCCTTCACTCCCACATCCCAATTATCCCTGCCTGGCTGTGCAGCAGTGACTGGGTGTTACACCATCCATCTAATGTATAAATTAGGGGGTTTTCAACCAGATTAAGATGCAGGACCCACTAATTGGCTTTTATTCAAACTGGTGTCAGAGGTGATTGCAGAAAAACCAATCAAAGTTATTAATAGCATATTGATACTATTAATTGTAGAGAATTAATTGTATAGAATCCACGTGTGGAACCAGCACAGAAAGACACAGATGTATCATCCCCAGCAAAACTGGAGTGCTCACAGTTCCCTCTAGTTATTTATTTATTCCTTCTTTGAATAACATGTATTTTGGGAGCACCTCTAGAGTTAATATGCCATAAAAGAAAGGAGTTTTCCTCTCAGATTCCTCACACACATTCAACCTACTTCCATAACAACTCTAAGAGCTTGTCTCCTCACTTCTTGTTAGATCAAAGCATAAGGACAGAATTCAAACACGAGGTTTTGTCATTTTTTTTTCAAGAGCTCCATTAAAATTGCCAAAGACACAACACCCAATAACAAACAACCAAATGCCAGAAAGAAATCACAAATAACATCCTTTTTTCCCCTTCATTTCATTCTGAAGTGAATCCATAATTAAGGAAATATGTCAGAATAAATGCACAGTGGTTTTGTTTTTACATTATATTCAGAGTGTGTTTCCATTCTGTCCCTTCAAACTTTGGCTGCAATGGGAGCTCATGTAGAGGGTCTTTATTTTGGAGTGGTGTAAAAACTTCATTCCCATGTCCACAGTGGCTGTTGTGTGAATGCCAAAGCACTAATATATCAATATATTTTTATTATTATCATGTTTCTGTAACATACCCTGAATACAACCTGCTCATACAGAATAACTGAGATATAATATTTGCTTTTAAAGAAGGCGAGTCCCAAGAAAATAAACAACTTGCACTGTTTAGAAAGTGAAAGCACCACCACTGCCAGGAGTGATGGCCGTGCTTGGAAGGAGGGAAATTATCAATAATGTTTTATCTCTTTACATAAAACAGAAGACTGAAAACACCACAAACAACCTCTTGAAAGTTGCTCTCGGGTTCCACAGCAGCACCAGCTTCTCATCAATGCACAGCAACAGTTTTACTGAGCTTAAAAAATCCTCTCTCTCCAATATGAGCCTGACCCAGCAGCTCATTAAAAATAAACCACTTAACACCTTGGAGATGTTTTCTGATAACAGCAAAATCCAGTCTGGGTCCCTGCCCCACCCCTGTTTTATAGAACCTTTCTGAGGCACAGCAAC